GGGTGAGGGCCCAGGCATAGCCTGAGTACTGTCCCCCAGGAAGTCTTGCAGGGACACAAGCTTGACATGAGGTTTTGCATCAGGCTTCCAGGTCCTGGACCTCAGCTGCTGGAACTGCTTCTCTCGCTTTAATTGGTGCCACCATTCTAACAAGATCTATTGGGGTTCCCATCAAGTTATTCTTTCACTACCCCCACCTTTATGAAATCATCCCACATCTGGGTCCTTGAGACCTTCATGAGGCCCTTTGCACCTCTCCTTTCAGTCATAGTCTGTACTTCCTACTGTGCTCTTACTGTTTCAACCTCCCCAGATCTGCTAACGTATGAGTAGCCTCACTTTTGGTTGCCCTATGTTGGGGGAAAGAATAGTCACTAGGGACCCAAAATGAGATGGTGGAAATGAACGGAGCACCAGAAGTCTCATTCTTATGATGAACAACTCACTGGGGCACTGGGGGTTCATATTATAGATGATGTTTTTCATGTCTAAGTCTCATAATACCTGCTGGAGCTCTGCATACATTTTCCAGCTAGTGGGTAAGTATGATAAATCACCCTGATTAGGCCAAATTGCCCTGATGGCTGCTGTCATCCAATCCAGAAACACCCAATTCCCTGGGATGTGACAGGCACTTTTGAACTGCTGCTGGTGGGAAGGATGGAAGGGTGAGTCATCAGGGAAGCCAGTCTACTCATTTCAGAACCAGACATAACAATGTTTTTGATCCCTATATCCCAAAAAGCAAAAGCCATGTAGGCAGAGGTTCTAACATCTTCTGCTGAATCCAGATGCTCATATCCACCAGCACACTCTGGGTATAGTGGCATAGAATGGAGGGCTCCACAACCTTTTGGTTGGGGGAGCTGCTCCTCCCCCTGAGGAGCGCTTAGTTGTTGCATTTTTATTTTCTTAATTACAACTGGGTGGGACTTTAATGAGGGTGGGGCTGGTGCCTTGGGCGGTGGCCTCAGCAACAGTTAGGCCCTCGACCCCACCCCATCATCCTCCACAACATCTCCTCTGCCATCTCTGAGGCGGAAGGCACCTCTCCTGGCAGAGAACCCCACCACACCTCTCCCGTCTGGGTGTGCCCTCACTCCCCACCCCCTCAGTAACCACCTAATGAGAGGGAGATGGACTACTTCTCTCCACCAGCTGGAAACACGTATTAACATGAGCATTCACTAAGGCCCAGCAAGAAATTCTGTAAATATCTCCACAGATAGCAATTTTATCCACAGAAGCCAAGAAATAAAACATCACAGGGTGATAGAGAAAAGTAGTTAATATGCTGATAGTTATGGAAACCAGACAAATAGTACATGTTTGGTAATTATTGTATCTTGTCTCCTTTTATGAATGGTTGAAAACTCACTAATAGTTTAAAAACCTAGGTTACTGAATGATTTTCTGCAAAATTTATCTTCTTGAGATTGGAATAAAATCACTAGTAATGACTGGCAAGGTGTAAGGCAAGCACACTGCCTTCTAACCTCTATTTGCCAATGAGTCAGATCCCTGGGGCAGAGTGTCCACACCTAGTGTTTCAGAAATGTGCAGCTTCTAACCTGGCAGGAAATTAAACCAGTTTAAGGAACTTCTCTGACCAGAGCCATATTCTTCAATCTGTGTTAATCATGAATGAAACAACTATTCATTCTCATCTGACTCCTGTGTCTATTTCTGAATTTTTTTCAGAACTGACATTGAGAAAGTGTGTGATCAAATAATAACAATTAGCAGCCAGGTTATGGGTTATAGAACTAATATCATGAATACACATACATATGTGACCAAGTTGTGAGCCCAGAGGATAAACCAGGCCTGAACAGAAAATGATTTTTCACCTTCGGTTAAAGAAGTCAGAAATCAGTGATGTGATAGCAGTTATATCCATTTGTATTACTGAGGACTTGATAGTTGAACTCTATGCCCTTCATTTAGTGGTGTAAGTAGGCTAAGGGACTCCCACATGGATAAAAAAGCAAAGGTAAAATCTTAACTGAAGTATATATATTTCCTGGATTGAATATGATGGGTTAATAGCATAGGTTATGGCAGAAGCAAAGAATCAGACAACCTAAACATCTCAGAAATCTACGTGAACCATAGCCACAGGGTGAGGATACCTGCCCAGATGCCCAGATGCTTTCTCCTGGCTGAAATGTAGAAGGCCATTAAACATTTTTGGTGCTAGATGGGGGCTGAAACTTGGAGAACCTTTCTCTCCAGTACTCTTAAATTTTGAGAAATCTGTACAGGGCCTTCTAGGTTCTTAGTGGGCTCAAAAGGGGAGGCTCCGCATGGAACAGATGATAAGCAATTAGAAAAATGCCTGGAGGCAGGCTTTTCTCAATGAGGTTGAATATCCAGGTTATAGTACTGTTTTTTATTTTCACCTCTTCTCTGGCTTATACTTCTTTTTCCATTTCCACATGCTCTTTATTTCTATATATTAGTAACCTGATTTTTAAACATTTAATGTTAGTTTTTATGGTATATTATCCAATTATAATAATTAATGTCATTTATTATCATTATATTATTAGTATTCATAATGTGTATTATGCAAATGCATTACATTTTTCTTTTTTCTTTGTACTTTGTTAATGAAATAAATCTTGCTCAAATTTAATACTGGTTGGCATTTCTGGGAAGTTCCTTGAAACCATCTCTGGAGAATCAGATACATTTACTTGAATAAATAATTCCTTTCAAAAATCAATAAACTAGTTTTGAATCCTAATTCCACTATTTGGTAGCAATAATTTGCTTTTCCAAACTTTTATTTCTCCACATTGCTTTAGTGTAAATTATGACTATACATATAAGTTATAGGGTTACTTTCAGGGTTAACAATATTATAAATTTTCAACAAATTTTGACTTCCACTTTATTTCCTTCAGATATTTAAAAATAAATATTTTAACAGGATTGTTAATTATAGCCATGCCTTTTTTAAATTTTTGTTCACAGATAAATGTCAAATGTTACTTCTGTGTTTTTCTCCTCACTATTATTTCTTATTTTGCATGATCAGAAGTTTCAAATGATCATATTGGAAAATTATCAACTATGCAATTAATATTTGTCTGTGTGCCAGGCATAAAGCATTCTAGTATTTGGCATTTGGGGCAGACATTCTCCTGGGCATTTGCCATTGAGAGTACAATAAGGACAAGTAAACTTTAAATTTTAGTTTGGTAAGGTATGAAAGCAGGGGGTAAATGATGACACTAGTGTGAATGAGTTGCACTAACTGCGGCCTGGTGGTACTATTGGTGAAATCATAAGACACGGTCAGCAAAAAATTCCTTTTGGGAAAATCATTTGAACTGGAGGACCCTGGGAATGTGGAAGGTGAAAAATGGGGGTGAAATTCCTTCCTACCTGGGCCGTGATATGAGAAGTGGCCTGAAGTAAGACAACAAGAATCAAAGGAAGTTTTAATATGTTGCACTATAGAAGTGAAAGTTAGTACCAAATGTAACGAGTGATGAAATGCTGATTTTTCTTTAGGGAAATACCGTTAGGTACTGTAGTTCTGGGGGTAAGGAGGCTTCCCCTCTCCTCGACAAGTTCCCTCTGAATCTGGTGAAACAAAAGGAGAACAGGAGGAAGGAAGTGTAGATGGGGAGAAAGGGTTTTTATTGCTCACAGCTTGCTCGAGGTTGCTAGCCAGTCCTTGCTCCTTCCGTCCCTTCTGGCTGTGGCTCACGCCCTATCCCGCAGACCGCCCCTTCCATCAGGATCTCCAGGGATGGGTCCTTGGAGACGGGTGTCGTGTCTCCACACCAATTAGGTACCAGGAATGGAGGTGAGGAGAGAATGGCCACTGTCTCTCCACACCTTGACCCAGATTGACCAGAGACTCTGCTGTGCTGTACAGGCACTGGTATGAAAATGGCCTAAGGCCAGGTGGGAAATTCTGGAAACTCTTGGTGAAAACTTCTATTTACCCCATGGGTATATAATTTGGACTCTTGAAATGACATTTTTTTCATTTAAAAAAAGCAAATTCTCACATTGATATTGGTATTTACATTATATTCTGTTTCCCTTGTTTTTCATTCCCCGGATATTTGGCTTATTCATTATGAATTTATCACTCTTTTAGCCCTATACTGATTGCCTTGGATTCACTGGCATCTGTTTGCTTAAATTGTTTACATTCAAGCTTTAACATTTTAATTGGTACAGCAATGTGAATCTGTTTTATGTAACTTCAGGGAAAGATTAATCTTTAACAAGAATTACCAGTGCTTTTCTCTCTTCATTTACACTGAATTCATGTCCCTTTTGCAATTTTTAAATAACTTTTATATAGGATTGGATCTAGTCAATAAAATATGTGAATCTTGTGATTTTTAAAGATTCTTCATTAGTAAATGTTTCTTTCAAGTCCTAAATTGTATACTTATTCCTGTTTTAAAATATATCTAGGGTTTATGAAATATTTCCTTGGTACACTTAGAAAATTATTGATTCTTTTCAATATTATGTCTTTTCTTATTTGAGTAAGGTGGGCTTTTGTTTTGTTTTGTTTTGTTTTGTGTGTTTTATTTGGAAGAATGGTGCGCACCATTGTACTAACATTTTATGACATATTTCCCAATCCTTTCAGCATTGGCAAGGAAATACTAAGAGTGAAGTCATGCTTAGATTTCCGGTAACACCTCTCACTTTCCTTCGTTAAGATTATCATCTCAAAGAGGTGTCTTTATAAGGTGATGAAAGGGGTGACTTGACCAGCATCAGTACTGAATGGAAGGCCACGCCCAGACCAGGAAAGGGGAAAATTAGACAGAAACTGAAGAAAATATATTTAGGGATCCTGACATCAATGTTCCCCTAATTCTTTGAGAGCAATATAAACCTTTTGATTAAGTCATTAAAGGCTCGTTTCACTTTGTTTGTTCCTCAGAGTGTAAATGAATGGGTTCAGCATGGGGGAAATGGAAGTAGTGAGTAGTGTTACTCACTTATTAATGGCCATTTCATCTTTTTGCTGAAGGTTTGATATAAACAAAGATGCAGCTGCCATAGGTGATGGAAACCATGATAATGTGGGATGAGCAGGTGGAAAAGGCTCTTGTCCTCTGCTGGGCAGAGGGGAGTCTTAGAATTGTTCTGATGATGTACATGTAGGACAGAACCACACACACCAGAGTCATAAGGAAAATCATCACAGCACAGACAATAACCATCTGCTCTATGAGCCATGTATCTGAGCATGAGATCTTCAGCATAGGGTTAGCATCACATGCAAAGTGGTCAATGGCATTAGAGGCACAGAATTCCAGGTCCAGTCCCAAGCTGAGTGGTGGCAATACGATCAACAAAGAAGTCATCCAACAGCAGAAGACGAGCCTTTTGCAGACCCTGTAGTTCATAATAGTCATGTAACGCAGGGGTTTGCAGATGGCTACATATCGATCAAAGGACATGGTGGCCAGGAGAAAAAATTCTGTTACTGCAAAAACGTCTATAAAAAATAGTTGGCAAGCACAAGCATTATAAGTAATAGTCCTGTTACCTGTTGATAAGCTGTACAAGAATCTAGGAATGCATGCAGAAGTGAAAGAGATTTCTAAGAGGGAAAAATTTTGGAGAAAAAAGTACATTGCAGTTTTAAGGTGAGAATCCACAAATGTGAGGATGATGATGCTCAGGTTTCCAGTTACACTCAACATGTAGGTGATCCATATAAATATAAAAATCAGAATCTGTAGCTGAAGGTCATCTGTCAATCCCAGGAGGATGAAACTGGTGAGAGATGTGTGGTTTCTCATTCCTGTGTCCTGACCTTTGCCCAATCTGCATGTAAAGAGAGAGAATTAAGATCTGAGAAGATGTTGGGAAAAGTGTGTTACAATGGAGTTTGTTCAGAAAAGCCAAGCAATGTATTTTACATGTATTTTGTTTTACTTAATAATGAATTTAAAAATAAGTCATACTGTTAGCTCTGTTTATAGCATATCATTAGATTGGTTAGAAACCTGACCGTGAAATGTTTTTACTACAATATATGGTAAGATAGACATTTCATATTGCAGCCCACTGTATATGCTCACACCCACACAAATACATATTCATAGACATGTATCTGAAACAAAAATGTAAATAAATTACTAATAACCCTTAGGTGCCCTGCTCTCTGATGTTTTATGTTCTAATGTATCTCATTAAAAATAAATACAAATATCATCTAATTTATTTTATAGTCTACTAAATGGTGATGACCTGTATTTTTTTTTAATTAACTTTTCATGAATCCTGTGAATAATATTGTGCTAGGAAAACATATTCTTATAGAATAGTTTTTAAATGTGCATTCTCAATTTAATTTGCACTTTGAAATAGATTGGTTCATACCACATTTGTTCCCCTAAGACTACTTCCCATATCATTAAACAAAATTTTACTCAGTTTCAAGATCTGCTTCTAACCATTTTTTTACTGTAATAAATTAAGGAATCATGATGTGTGTCTGATACACAAGATGTTTCTAGATCCTCTACCAATGAAGCTGAAGACTCTGTTCGACTACATGAGTCATCCTGCATGGGCTACCTGTCTGGAAAAAAAATTCATCTAATCATTAATGTTTTTTTTCCCTCCCCCTTACTCCATCTATTTGCTGATTCTGAATGGCACTTTCTTATTCATTCCTGATTTCTATACTTGAACTATTAAAAGAAGTCCTTCCAAAACTCCCAAGGCACATAAAGAACATTTTTGTGTTTTTCTGTAACACACTATACCTAAAGAGGATCTAAAAACATTGTTGAAAACAGGATTTTAAAGATCTTGTTTAATGTGATAACCACAGACTGTAGGAGACTGAGATATAGAGTTAATTCAAGGTAATATTTACCCTCAGACCTAGATCAAATTATGTTATTCATTATGTGGACTCACTTTTAAAACTATTCTGACACTTCTTACTTTTGCCATGTCCCTGACTCTAATTTAGAGGATTCTCATTGGCTTTTACTTTTGGTGGTGGAAATGTTCAGAGTGGCTCCTAAGTCACATCATGACCTGACTATATACTCATTACATATGTAATACCTGCATGAAGACAAAAAAAGTTTTAATTGACTTATTCCTGTGTTTGGCAGAGAAATAGTTTTCCTTTTATGGATTCCATTCTTGCTTCCTTAACACACCTCCCAGAAATATATTGAAACCAGAGATTCAAACTCTTAAATTATGAATTTGGACCATCAGGTTCTCAGTGGTTGTTCTTCAGCTAACACCAACTAACTACATTAATACCTGCTAAATGATTTTGTTCACCAATGCTTGTTTAAGGCCTTAAGTAAATTGAAAAAACTCCACATCATTTGCTATATAAATTTGAATTAATTGCCTATGTGAGGGTTTCACTTAATTGTTTTAAAGTAGTCCTTTTCTTCAGAAATGGGAGATACTCTGTACTCACCATCTGCCCATTTCCCATAGTAAATCTCCGAGAGTTTACAGGTTTTGGCAAAGAGATGTGGGGATGACCCTGATTTGTTCTTTTAGGATGAGCCAGGCATTCCCAAGAATGTGAGCATCACACAGCTAACAATAAATTAAGTGAATAGTTACAATAGATTAAGCAATTAAAATAATTAAATAGACTAATAGACTTGAGATATAGAAAATAAAACATATAAAGACCACCTACCTCTCTTTCCTTCAGTCTTAACACAACTGTGCCTTACACAACCCTGGAAATTTTAAGCCTTATCCTCACTTCCAAATATCTTGAAAATAAATTGACCCTACTGTTTGACACTGTATGTTTAGTTCTTTTGTCTTTTAGAAAACTGAACATTTTAGAGAGTGCAGTAATGTAAATTATGTCAGCAGATGATTTCCGATTCAAGGTTGTTTCTAGAAGCCCTTCATTTCACCTATTTTTAGGTGACCTACTATTTGTTGATATACAAATCCAGCCCTATCAAAATCTCCAATCAATTCAAAATTGTAAACTCTTGTTTCTTTAATAATTTAATTAACTATTCATATTTCTCTACTTTTGTAAAATGTATCAAACTTGTTTCTTAAAGAAGATAATTTTCTAAGTCTCGCAAAGACCACAGACATTTATTGAAGTCAGGTATTTGTCCATGAACATCCTGAGGGTTAGAAGGATGAGTAAAGGTTTGCATAGGCTTGTATGTGGACAGAAGTCCCAGGTGAATTATGATCCATTGTTACTTATCAATGTTTTGTGTAACTTTTTGGCAAAGATCCTGGAACAGGCACCAGTGGGGATGGTGTCTTCAGAGAATTGAAGATTGCACAATGATATTCAACGAAGGACTTTACACAAAATAAAAATCTAATGAAAAAGAGCAAGACTACCTTTTCCTCCTTTTCAATAACATCTGTAGGTGCTAATAGCTGTAACAGAATAGTTACCCCTTTTCTCCTTTGATAACATATTTTTAATTAAAGTAATTCTTATTCAAACAAATTAACATAACAAAAATAGAAAAATTAATCTTCAAGGTAAAAACCACCATTAATGTCTCTATTATGCCCTTCCTTAAATTTCCTATGTAAATATATTCATATTAATGGGTCTATTCACAAATATGAAATATCCTTTATGGGTTGTTTCAAAAACTAAAAATTCTTTTCATCTTAATACTTATAAATTTGTATAATCACTTGGGGAATATGTGACATTTATTTTGGTGTGCTCCATTATAATTTTAAATCAATCCTAACATTAAAACTTTGTGCTTTCTTAAAATACATTCACTATTATAAAAAAATTACTACCTCAGGCTTATTATGATACTATAATTTTTATTATAAATTTTTGTTACTTTTTTAATTGACCTTCAGTTATGATGCAGAATATGTTTTGTACAAATATCTTTTTCCTCTTACAATATTTCCTAGAACTGAGCATTAATTTTTATTACTTTTATATATTAACAACTTTATTGTTATGTATGTTGCAAATATTTTACCACTTATTTGTTAGTTTTTATTTATGTTTATGCTGTTTTCTTTACATAGAATCTCATGTTACATGTCACAAAGAAATTTATATTTTTTTGAACAGGCGTCATATTTTTCATATACTTCATACATTGTATTTTTTAAATTAGGTCCTTTTTTCAAATTATTTCTGCTTGATATTTTTCAATTTTTTAAATATTTAATAAAACTTTTACTATTAAACATTTACTATTTAATAATATTTGTTAGTATTTACTAATATTTAATAAAAATGAAATATTTCAATATTAAATCATAATGATTTTCTATGAAGCAGCAAAAGCAATCATCAGAAAAAAGAACAAAGTTGAAGATATCATATTTCCAAATTTCAAACTATTCTACAAAGCTACAGTTAAAACACTGTGGTCCTGGCATAAAAACAGATTCACCGATCAATGGAATAGAATATACAGCCCAGAAATAAGCCTCCATATACATCATTTGACAAGGGAGTCAAGAACACTCAGTGGGAAAGGCGTCTTTTCAGTAATGGTGTTGGGAAACTGAATGACCACATACAGAAAAGTAGAATGGATCCTGACTTGCACAGCTCATGTAAATTAACTGGCAGTGGATTAAAGATTTAATCAGAAGACTTGCAACTATAAAACACGTAGAAGACAATATAGGGAAGAAACTCCTTTACATTAGTCTTGGGAATAATATTTGTGACATGACACAAAAGCCAGTGACAAAAGCATAAATCATTAAGTGAGACTTATTGATTTGACATCAAACTATGAAAATTTTTCATGAAAGGAAACCATCAACAAACTGAAAAGGCAACCTACTGAACAGGAGAACGTTTTTGGAAACCATACCAGATAAACCATACCAGATAAACAGTATAACCTCAAAAATTCGAAAATATATAAGAAACACATACATCTCAAAAACAATGACAAAAAAATAAAACTGATTGAAAAATGGGGAGATGAACTACACAAACATTTTTAAAAGAAAACTTCCACATGGCTCACAGGTATGTGGAAAGATGATCAACATCATAAATGATCAGGGAAATGCAAATCAGAACCACAATGAAACAACTCACAGAATTGGAGAAAAATTTGCAAATCATATATCTGATAAGTGGTCAATATCCAAAGTATGTAAGGAGCTCATACAACTCAATAGAAAAAAACATTTGATTAAAAGAACAGTAGAGAGCCTGAATGGACATTTCTCCAAAGAAATGCCTAACACCATTGAAGTTTGTCCAACACCATTAAGTTTTCTCAACACCATTGAAGAGATTATCCTTTCTTGATTATATATTCTTGGTTCCTTTATTGTAAATTAATGGACCACATGTGCATGGGCTCTCTATGCAAGTTCATTTTCCTGTGTGTCCATTTTGTATGCCAATACTGTGCTGTTTGATGACTATAGATTTGTAGTTTGAAAACAGGACGTGTGATGCCTCCACTTTGTTCCTCTCTCAGGGTTGCTTTGTTTACTTGGAGTCTTTTGTGGTCCCATATGGGGTTTAGGATCTTAGAGGGAAGGCTTGCATTTTTATTCCTTCATTAGAATGTTCACTATGACATTGCTGTATATGGCCTTCATTATGTTATGACACAATTCTACATCCACTTTGTTGAGTTTTTTT